ACTGGGCCTTCAGAATGATCTAGTTCAGTAATTCTCAGTTTGGTCTAGAGATACCTAGGGGTTCCAGTGACCCTTTAAGGGATCTGCAAAGTCAAAATTATGTTTGTGTACTGAGTCACTTCAGCCATGTCCGATTCTTTGTGACCCCATGGACTATATGGCCCACCAGGCTCCTCTGTCCATGGGATTTTCCAGGCAAGAATACAGGAGTGGGTTGCCATTTCCTCCTCCAGGGGATCTTCCCAACCCAGGGATTGAATCCACATCCCTTACATCTCCTGCATTGGCAGGTGGGTTCTTTCCCACTAGCTTCACCCCCTACTAAGGGGTTTCTTGCCTTTTTCATTAGGTCACACTTGCACAGATGGTGCAAAGCAGTGGGGAATAAAACTGCTAGATCTGAAGCATAGTTGAAGGCAGGGGGACCAAACTGTATTTTTCACCATTATGTTATGCGCTCACAGTAAGAAAAGAGAACAAAACCTTGAGGAAGTCATTTAAAGATTAATTTGGTTACATTTTCAGCTCAAAGTATACATCTTTTAAATATTTTGTGTGCTGAAATAGGAAGTATGCACTTCTGTTCCATACTGAAATACAATGACTCTCTTCAGGGAAAGCTCTTACACAACTGAGTTCTGAGTTGAACCAGCTACCCTTTTTCTTGGAATACCATTTTTAATTAAAAAAAAAATGACTGAAAAACTATGGTCATTCAGACATGGGTGTTTCTCAGGCATTTTCTTAAAAGTGAACAAAGTGAGACTGTCACTTCAATGAAAACATCTGACCGTGATTATTGCCAATGGTGAAATTCCAGATTTCAGATGAAAATTAGAGCTTTAGAGAAACTTGTATTTGTTATCATGAGCTTCACAGTTTCCCAGTAACTAAAGACTTTTCTGTTGATACTGAATCTGATTTTTAAAATATTGTATATAATGAGATGCTATCAACATTTAAAAGATCTCTATAACTTTGTGAACAAATATTTTCAACTGCCAATACATGAATGAAAGATCTATTTAAAGCACAAAAAGGACCAATGAATTTTATTGTAGTAGAGTAAGAAATGCTTGTTGAGGGCTTCCCTAGTGGTCAATGGTTAAGAATTCATCTGCCAAGGTAGGGGACAAGGGTTCGATCCCTGGTCCAGGAAAATCCCATATGCCACAAGGCAACTAAGCCCGTGCACCACAGCTCCCAAAGCCTGCACGTCCCAGAGCTGGTGCTCTGCAACAAAGAGAAGCCCCTGCAAGGAGAAGCCCATACACCACAACTAGAGAGTAGCCCCCACTCGCCACAAATGGAGAAAGTCCTAATGCAGCAACAAAGACCCACCGCAGCCACAAAAAGAAAGAAATGCATGTTGATATGGCTTCAGATTCCATAATGCAACTCAATGTTTAAGAAACTATCCTTGTTGAGTTTTCATGTAGCATCAAAGAAGAATATCTACAATTATACAAAAAAGTCTCTTAAAATGCAACTACAAACCTGTATGAGGCCAGATTTTCTCCATAAACTTCCACTGAATTCTGCTTTGAAAGCAGAGTTCATGTTAAATTTATCTTTTTTTTTTCTCATAGCACCTTGCACAGTACTTTACACATAAATACCACATTAAATGAAGATGCTTTGGTACTGACAAAAATTCGCTGTCTTGTCTGGCTGGGAAAATGTGTGAAACAGCTATAGTCATGTCTTTAAGATCAACAAAAAAAGGTTTACCAAATCCAGCAATTCTAACAGTATACCAGGGGCAGTCTTTAGCAAGTTGAGATTACTTGGGGATCGATAAACAACTACTTCACACTGTAGGTAATAAACTCGGCTTCTTATTACCTGTAAGAAAAGACAAAAGCAGATAACATAAAGGAATCTGAAGATGATTTAGAGAAATATATATGTATATGTTTCTAAATTCCTACTCCAAGAAGATTTTTTAAGTAATAATTTATATTTACCTATGTGGTCCTTCCCAGTGGTCTCCCATTAGCTCCTCAGAGGTAACTACTATCCTGACCATGGTGTTTCCATTTCTGTGCCATTTTAAAAAGCTTTATCATATGTATGAATGAATGGCTAAACAAATATTCCTTTGTATAAAGGACATCACACCATATGGTATCTTCTGGGACTTGTTTTTTTCCACTGAATATTAATATTCCTGATATTCTTTTATGCTGCTGTATTGTAGCTACGGTTCATTTATTCTGTTGTATAGTATTCTGTTCTGTGAAGACAGCACAACTTATCCATTTTTTATGTTGGGCAACTGAATTGAATTCAAAATTCTGATTTTACAAATAGTGCTATTATGAACACTATTGTACATAGCTTCTGGTATACACGTATATATGCTAATCAGTATATATACTCAGGCATGAAATTCTGGGTTATAGAGTGTGTAAGTATTCAGCTTTACAAGACAACAGGTGTGCTTGTCTAACGTTTATTTCAGAGATAACATCCGGTGCAGCTGCATTAAGGCCTCTTTGGGTTACAGAATCCTACACTGCACAGGCCATAAACCCAATCTAGTATAACAATTCCTCTTTGCCAGCCTTTCTCCAATTTCCCCAGGCTGGACAGACAGACGAGGACAAGTAAAAGCTCTTTCCTTCTCATTCCTTCATTTCTGTTCTTGCCTTTCTTATCCCTGATGATAGCAGTTTCTCTCCTTCAGGCATCCAGTTCTTGACCTAATCTGGGTCCTCCAGGGGAGAACCTGGACATTTTGCTGATACTAGATGTCCTACTCATCCTTTAAGGTATAGCTTAATTCCCATCTTCTTCACAATGCTTCCCTTATTATGCTGACCCAATTCAGTTCAATGATTCAAAATTCACTGAGAGTTTAAATATGCCTCGTTAAACTAGACACCAACGAGTCAATGTGGAACAGAGAGCTCAAGAAGTCCTCAAAGAGCTCACATTTTAGTGACTAGAAATAAGATAGTAAAAAAATTAAAATGCAGTGTGATGTTAAAGGTCCACATAGACACATGTATGAGGAGTATAGAAGAGAGACACTTAGCCAGCTACACCCATTTCTTCCTTATTTTTTCTCTGAGAGTTTTTATTATCTGTACATGACTCCCTTATTTAGTGCAGGCTTGCAGGATGCATTTAAGAATGTGGTACCACTAGTTGAAATCAATTCCATGTAGAATGGCTATAACATAGAACCTTTGAAGGTACATCCAACGTGGTCCATTGGCACCTGAGTTTCCACTTTGGTCATCTACCAAATGACATATTCCTGGTCATCATTTCTCGCAACTCCCACTTATACACTTGTTAATCCATCCCCTCATGCTACAGTGATATTTGTGGACTTTTACCAATTTTCATTTGCTTCTTGATCTTTCCCCTTGTAGATGATAGGAATCACCATAAAACTGGCATTTTAGAGGGAGCTAGGAACCACCAGGGAGGAGGGCATGGCAACCCACTCCAGTACTCTTGCCTGGAGAATCTCCATGGACAGAGGAGCCTGGCAGGCTACAGTCCATGGGGTCACAAAGAATCAGACACGGCTGAGCGACTAAGCACAACACAGGAACCACCAGAAAACTTGAATTTTAACATTCAACGTGATGCTATTCCTTTGTTTCTTTGTGGCATTTCTGGAACAATCAAATACACATCTTTGTAAATCAGTGTGGGTCCAAACTGCACACAGAATAAATAGCAGAAGAAAACCATCCACTGAATAACCTCACACAACGTGGTTTAAGGTAACATGGGAGAGTACTCACTGGATGAGGTCATAAGATGAAGTGCTAACTCATTGACCAAAGGTTACTGTAGAGTATGCCAGGCTAGCTCTCACTGGCTGAGAAGGCACAGTATTGGTCCAAGCATAGAAAAAAGTACTATTATGGTACCAAAATCAATTTATGCACATTTTTAAAGAAAAATATTTCAGAGATGAATTAAATCAAATAATCACTGTTCTGTCAATGCTATTGTTATTGTCTAGTCACTCAGTCATGTTTGACTCTTTGGGAGCCGTGGACTGTAATGCTGCAGGCTCCTCTGTCCATGAGATTTCCCAGACAAGAATACTGGAGTGAGTTACCATTTCCTTCTCCAGGGGATCTTCTTGACCCAGGGATCGAACTCAAGTCTCCTGCATTGGCAGGCAGGTTCTTTACCACTGAGCCACCTGGGAAGCCTGGCAGTGTTATGCTCTATCACATACTTCTGTGATCAAGCATGATTTCAGTAGGATCCTGTGGGGAGTTTGTATATGACCTGCTTTAATTGCTTAATGGGTAGGAGTATCACTGTCCCTCCTATCTCAAATTATAAACCCTCTATAGACAGAAACACTGTTTTATAGGTATATTTAACATAGCATCAATTTGGGTATGTAGCAGACGTGAGAAAATACCAACATATAATTAATATTTGCTGAATTAAGGCCAGCGGGAGAGAATTAAGTAAAAGAGGCAAAAGTTCATCTCAGAGTCCAACACCTATGTGAAGCTGAGGTTCCCTAACCTCAGCACTATTGCCATTTTGGACCAGATAATCCTTTGTTGTGGAAGGCTGTTGTGTGTATTATTTTATGTTTAATAACATCCCTAGACACCAGCAGCACCCTCCCCCCTCAATGTGACAACCAAAACTGTCTCCAGACATTGCCAAGTGTCCCCTAGGATGGAGAGAGATTGCCCTTGGTTGAGACTGCTGCATTTAATCTATCTCATTGCTTCTCTTTCATTCACCAGATTCTGGTCTGGGCCATAGAAGGCAACTCTCTAGGTCAAGCAGGATACGTCTTCATATTAAGAGAGAATACACAATTATAGTTAAACTCCAGATATAACTTGGTACAAATTTATTTATACTCACCTATCTCTGCTGCTCTAACAAAACACTGGGCAACTTGTAAAACTATTTATGCATAAGTATAGAACAGAAAGATGAAAACTAGAAGAAAAACTGGATTTATTGGGGGTAGTCAAGCAATACGGCAGGTGAATTATTTATTCATGCTTGGCAGGACCCTTTGCGGTCTCAAGCTTCAGATGGCTAGACAAGCCCCTCAGCTCCATGACCAGGTGACCAAGGAGAACTCTCATATCCTGTATCTGCTTGAGGAGAACACCCATCTGGTGATACAGATGAGGGTCTGGGCCTTGCGGAGGGGAAAAGGAGTCTGCATCCTTAGAAGAAGGGGTGGGAAGTGGAGGCAGTGGCCCAGGGGGCTTTGTAGAAGTAGTTTCTGGAGCATCTGGTTTCTGAGGAGCTGGAGTCAAGATAGTGGGTGCAGCGGAACTGGAGGGACCTGGATTAGGGGGCAGGAGACACAGACAAGAGTGAAGTCCGACTCTCGTCCTACCCTCATGCTCCTGGCCAATTTTTCTTATTCTCTGAAAGTAGCTTTGGAGCCCAATGGCAGCAAAAATTTGAGGACTTTTGTCCAAATTCCAATCTAAAGAAGTCTGAATTTTGTCTGCTTAAAAATCTTCCACAGGGAAGACTATGGATATTATAAAAAAGACTATGGATATTAGCCAGTTCCTCCTGTTTTAATTGAATTTCTTACAATAGACATGTTGTACAACAGGTAACTGGTCCTAGGTCAATCTCTTATTGTACATGCATGCATGCTAAGTCTCTTCAGTTGTGTCTGACTCTTTGCGACCCCGTGGACTGTGGCCCGCCAGGCTCCTCTGTCCATGGGATTCTCCAGCAAGAATCCTGGAGTGCATTGCCATGCCTTTCTACACTAATGTACATGACATTAGTGTAGTTCCTTATCCTGTGCCAGGCTTCAGTGTTTTGAAGACACCTCTGCAGGCCCCATGAGTCACTTCCTCTTCAAGACGAGCATCTCCCATCCCTTCCATTATTTTCCTGATGACATGACTTGAGCGTCCTCCTTACCCTGGACACCTCCTGTGGGTATATTTCAGGTCAAATGCAGCCTTCTTAATGGAGATTCCTAGAATTGAATATAACCTCCAGCCTACTTCATCCTCACTCTAGAAACTCTGTTCCTACAAATGCCCAGAGTTCATGAAGGGAGTGTCAAGTCTACGGGGCAGTAGCTGTGGAGCTGGCTCAGGTCTTGGTCTGGTGAGTTGCACACCACGGTCTGAGGGAGAAGTTCCCTATCTGTGATTTTTCCACCACCAGGGACTCTGGCTTATTGTTCTTGCCTCTTGTGTGTCCTTTCTTAACCTGCTTACACCAAACCCTAGCTCATGGACCCAACTGTCTTATCCCCTTCCTTCCTGCTTTTTCACATGCATCACACACACACACACACTCACCCTGCACCCTGATCTCCAGCTTGGGGCTCTGTTTCCAAACTTGATTGTCCTCAGTGGCTGCTTCACACCAGTAGGACCCAGAGTGTGCCTCTGACACGGCGGGGATCTGGAATTCGGAAGAGGGGCCCCTGCTTCGCACTGTCCTGCCGTCCTTGTAGAAGGAGAAGAGGAGGCGGGCAGCTGACCTCTGCAGGGGCAGCTTTGTCTGACAGCTCAGGGTCACTGGCTTCCCCTCTTGGGGCTCAGCTGAGGGTGTGACTCTGAGAACTGGGGCTCGAAACAGTTCTGGGGGAGAGAGAGGTGAGAAAGAGCAGCTCAGCCATCCTACATTCAGGTGAGCCCCCAGCAAGCAAAGAACCCCAGTCCCACCTTCCTTCCTCTCTTTCTAGATCGGGAAGGACTTCTCTTAGAGAAGTTCCACTTGAACCTTTCACGCTGTCTCTCTCTTCAATAGACAGGACTAGAGAAGATCTAGAGATGGGCAAATCTGGCAGTAATCCAGATATCCAGTCAGTGAATGTCGGGAAGCACAGAACTGTAGGACAGAGCAGTAGGAAAGATGCTGAACTTGGAGTCAAGCTGAAGGACTTGAAAAGGCAATGCTAAGATGCTGCTCCTCCTGAAAGCCAACTGGGGCATCTGCCAGCAACCTACTGCTTAGGCCTTCGGTGATCTTGCCATCTCCAGTGAAAGACATTTTTAGTTCCTCTGTCTTTCTCCACCTGCCTCCACCATGATGACACTGCCTCTAGTGCTTACCTTGAACTGTGAGAGCCACAGGAGATGCCGTCTCTGGGCTCCCAGGACCAGGGCTCCTGAACACAGCGCTGCAGTGATAGTGTCCGCTGTCGGCCTTTTGCGCCATAGTGATGGAGACCTCCTTGTTAGGTCCGGGGGGGCCAAGGGCTGAGCCGTCTCGGTAGAAGGTGACCTGGGTCAGTGGCCAGTTTTGCCAGGCCTGGCAGCGCAGAACCAGAGGGTCTCCTTCGAATATAGGCTTGGCTGGACTTTGGAGGATCAGCCAGTCTGTGGTCCAAAGCAAAAGCTGAGTGTGACCTACTGCCCTCCTTGGGAGCCCCCTCAGCGCTGCCCACAGTAGACCCGTCTAGTCTTTCTCTGAGGGGCCAGGCCACCTGCCCTCTGGTTGGGAGTGTGGGACGGCTTCTCTAGGGTTTAGCACAGAGGGTACCCTGGCTTCTTGGGCTGAAGATGGAGCAGATGGTATCTCTTCCCATGGTCAATTTCCTGGGGGTACCTTCCTGAGTGGGCTGTGAGGCTGAAAGGAGAGCTTTGGGAAATGGGAGAAAGAGCTGCCTGCCCTGGTCAGTCCTTTCTAGGACCTCACCGTAGGATACGATCAGGTGGAAGGGTTCACTGAACGTGAAGCCCTTGACCTGGAAGTTGACTTCCTTTGGGTCCATGAAGTCATCCTCGGGGCGGCACATGCCCTCCTGGGTGCTGGCTGGTCCTTCACACTGGAGAGTCTCAAAACGGGCGGCTGCGGAGAGCACGGTTGGAGAAGAACCAGAAAATGATGCTGCAGCTTGGAGCAGGAGGACAGGAAATAGCTGTCCACAGGGGTTCCTCCCTCTCCTTGGGGAATCGTGCATTTTAAAATAGAGTAAGAAGGCATCAAAACCTTTTTTTCCCAAGAGACCCATGTGGCTCTCTCAGAGGGATACGTTTGACTTGATTCGCTGGCTCCCGGGTGCACTCAATGAGTGGACTGTGGGTTTGGGGAGGGGGTGGGGAGAGAATGGTGAACTCACCAGCATGACATCCAGCTGCAGGTGCAGGAAACCAGAGGCCAAAGGCAAAGAGGACCCCAGAGCAGACAGACGTGGGACAAGAGGGGAAGGAGATCAGATTCTAACATTTGTTGAGTGTTTACTGTGTGCCGGACATTGCCAGGCACGTTCACACTTTATCACACAAATCTTACAAGATTTCTAGGCATGTGATTTCACCCCCACTTTATAAGTCTTATTAATAAGTGAACAGATTTTAAAAAGTCAATTCATTTACACCCTATTTTAAAAGAGAGTAAGGAGTACAGCAAGAAAGTCAGGTACGTCTGAGCCCAAAGTCAGTGTTCTTTTTACTTCGTTGTCCAGACATGATCTACTTTAGTCCTCAGACCTTCCTTGGGGGCTTTCTTCCATATTTTCATTTTCCCAAATTCACTTTGCTCTTCATCCTTGAATATGTCATCTACCAACTAGCTTTTAGTACCTGCTTCCTGGCTCCTCCTTTCAGGTCTTCCTTTTTCAGTCTCCTTTACCTTAATGTCCTCTGTCCCTTGAGCTTTCCCTGGCAACAGTAGAGCCCATCCTACATCTTTCCCTCCACCCCGACCCTCTACTCCGAGTCTGTACTGGTAGCTATGAAACATTCTTTCTTTGCTTGGAGGTTGAAACTTAGTGTCATAGATTTTTCACCACATTTCCTCAACCTACCTCTTAGTTCCATGGTCGACCCAAGCTAGGTAAATCTCTCTCATCTCCATGACTGCTTCTTGGCCCTCTTAATGCGTCTTTCCCTCTTTGGGCCCGTGGCCGTTCACATGTCCTCAGTTCTTTACTGTGTCCTTTCCCGTCCCACTTGCTTTTGCTCCCTTTCACTTCCAAAGTCCCAATACTCTTCTTTGACCTTGTAACTTCTCTTAGCAAGGCCCCTGTCTACTTCCTAATTCTCATTACATCAGCAGCAGGTGCTTTCTTTAGATCCTCTCTCAGCCCTCTTCATCACCCTGCTACCCCTTTTCAGTTCCTCCACTTTCACTCAACTGGATTCAGCCTCCTCTCATTTTGTAAAATAAAATGTTGCTAGGCCAGGCACTTTGACTCAATAAACTATGTGACAGGTATTATTATTCTCATTTTGTGGATAGGAAAACCGAGTTCAGAAATATGAAATGCGGCTTTTCCAAGTGATACAGAGCTAGTAAATAAAAGAAGAGTGGCTCGAAACCAGAGCATCTGATTCTGAGTCTGGGCTTCTCACCACAATACCACTGCCGTATCATAATACAGTCACTCAGTCCTGTTTCTGTGTGTTCAATAAAACAATTCAACAAAACTATTGTGTAGGGAAAATGTGGGTGCTGAGAATTCAAAGATAAATAAGATACAGTTTTAAAAATCAAACAAAAAGACATTGTCCCTGCCTACAAGGAACTCCCAGTTCAGCGGCTGGCACAGGCATATGAGGAGATTGTTTCAGATGAGGAAGAAATTAGTAAGAAAGAATTCGCACAGGCAGCCATCAAAGCAGAGAGGAGGACTCAAGGAAGATTTCCTGGTAAAGATGCCACCTAAGCTAAGTCTTTAGGGATGCCCAGAAGTTTGTAAGTGAGAGAGGAGTAGGGTGCAATGGCAGGGGCAGGGAGGGGGGCTCATTTCAGGCAGAAGTAGCAATATGGACAAAACTTTGGAGATAAATAAGAGTTTGGCGGGTAAATATAAGCAGGTTGGGATTTTTTTCAAGGCTCAGAGGATGAGAGAAGAGGTTGAAACAGGGCCAAGTTATGGTGGGACTTGAATGCCATGATTAGGAGCTTGGGCTGGCAGACTTGAATTTTAGAAATTACTCTGGCTGCAGAGTCAGACCTTATTTCAAGGACACAAGGCTGAGATACAAAGATTAGTTAGGAAGTTGTTGGATTAGCACAAAACAGAAATGATGAGGGCTTGTCCTAGTAGATATCATTAGTCATGTTTCAGGAAAGAGACTGGCTCTAAGACCAACTTAGAAGGTAGACTTTGCCAAACTTGATAACTTATCATGTGTAGAGGATGAAGGAGAGGGAGGAATCTACGTTATCTCCCAATTTTTGACCCAGATGTCTGGATGGTTCCATTAACTGAGATAAAATAGTGAAAAATGAAATCTGGGGACCTCCCTAATGGTCTAGTAGCTGGGATTCGGGGCTTTCACTGCCATGGCCTAGGTTAAACCTCTGGTTAAGGAACTGAGATCCCTCAAGCCACACAGTGCAGTCAAAAAACCAAAAGGATGAAATTAGGAGCGGGAGGGACCAAGCGGATAGATGAGTTCAACTCTGGTCATATTGTGCTGAGATATCTTGAAACATGCAGGTAGCTATGTCTTGTGCAAAGCTTGATGTTTGAATGTGAAACTCAAAAGCGTGATTAGGGTGTGATGCATCACTTAGAACTCTTAATTATACAGTTGTGGTAAAAGCTAAATAGACAAATAAGTTCACTAAGGAGATTGTAAATTTAAAACTAAGGAGGCAAGGATGCAACTGTAGAAAATGGCAGTCTTTACGGGAAAGAGAAAGAAGCCTCCAAAGGGACCAAGAGCGATACACGAAGCTCAGAGCAGCCAGGGGAATCGAGATTGCCGAGGAAGAGTAAGTGGTCAGCAGCACCCGACACAGCAGAGAAGCCCAGCGGGGTAAGACCTTAAAAGTCTGAAGTGTCTGTACAGGGTTTGTTGCCCTCTGGCCAAAATTGAGTCCAGCGGAAGCCAGACTGCAGTCGCTAATAGTGAGTGACAAGTGGGCAAATGGAGAAGGCAAAAATGCAGACTACTCTTTCAAGAGATTTATCTGAGCAAAAGAAGCAAAGAGTTGAGACTGTAGCTAAAGAGGGCATCATAGTCAAGGGGATTTTTTAGGATGAAAAAAATACCATTCAGAAAGAGCCATCCAGTCCTGCACGCGAAACTTTCTTACACTAGCCAGATCCCACCTGAACCTGGCTTCCGAGTGCTGAAGTTAGTCCATGCTGCTTTCCTTTGGGTCTTTCCCCCAAAGTCCGACATATCTCCATTTCCACAAATTCGAAGATTTTACTTACCCAGTAGCATCTGAGCTGCCCAGAGCAAAGCAGGAGAAAAGTAGAAGATCCCAGCCATGAGGACAGAGCTTAGCTTCGTGGTAACTGTGTTTAGGTCTCCTGCAGCTTCTAACACACTGATTTTCTTCAACACTAAACCTCTCAAATTAGAAAAGAGGAAGTAAGTCTAACTGTCTGATCTCCTTGCATCTGGGGCCCATTTTCAACTTTGCAATTGACTTTCATCCTTCAGATTGACCAGGTTCTTTCCAGCACCATCAGCACCCTGAGGGTTGTGGATGACATGATTACCCTCCCAGTTGTTCGAGAATTCCCACATAGAGCTCAGAGACCTTGCAAAGCATGTTGGAAAGCATGTTTCAAAGTGCTATCCCACCAGCCTTCACAAACCCTGGGCAGAATCAGTGCAACAATCGTTCATTTCACCAATGAAATTACTGGGGATAGGAGGCAGGAAGTTGCTTGAAGGCTACACAGAAAGTCTCAGGAAGAGCAATGGTGAGAATTCAAGTGTCCGATCTTGTCCTGTTCCAAGTCTTACACGCTTCTAGTTACCAAACTGGAGCAGGACAGAAGGGAGAAGATTGGCAGTTGTTCACTCACTCAGTCGTGTCCGACTCTTTGTGACCCCACGGACTGCAGCATGCCAGGCTTCCCTGTCCTTCACTAACTTCTGGAATTTGTTCAAACTCATGTCCATTGAGTCCAAGATGCCGTTTAACCATCTCATCCTCTTTGCCCCCTTGTCCTCCTGCCCTCAATCTTTCCCAGCAACAGGGTTTTTCCAATGAGTTGGCTCTTCACATCAGGTGGCCAAGGTATTGGAGTTCCAGTTTCAGCAGCAGTCCTTGCAGTGAATATTCAGGGCTGATTTCCTTTAGGATTGACCAGTTTGATTTCCTTTCTGTCCAATTGGTAACGGCACCAAATTACATATGAGATTAGCCCCCTGGTATGCTCCTTCCATCCAAAGCCCAGACAGATTTGTATACAAATTTTTCTAGACTCTGGCCTCAGCTCTCTTTTTCTACAGTACAACTAAGGCTGTTCAGTCTCATTGGAAATCTGAGTAAAAGGCAAAGAGGGACTCCTGGGAAAGAGCAGAGGAAAAAAGAAAGGCAATTTCCAGAGGCCCTATCTGTAAGCTCAGGGCTCAGGCTCATGGCCAACACTCAAGCCACTGATCCTGAAGAAATTAGAGACAGAAGGTATCTGATAGCCTGAGAAACCTGAGAAGAGTTGGGAACGAGGGCAACATGAAGAACACGTCATCGCTCTTCAGCTCCAGGGGGCCTTATGGGAACCACGAGCCTACCTCTGCATATGTGCTGGTGGACTGAGAGCTCCCCAATGGAAGGGCCCAGGCCTCTTTCCACAGGGACCACACTCCTCTCCCCTTCCCATCATAATAGCCACCAGGCCCTCAGCTGGTGACTCAGAAACGAAACGAGCTGCCAGAAATGGGGGAAGGCAGTCCTGCTTGAAGGCAGGAGGAGAGTCAGCATGACCCTTCAACTGTGCAAAAACCACACTTCAGAACAGATATATCAGCAACAGAGACCCGAGACAGTGTGTGCTTCTCAAGCTAAAATAAGCATTTAGAATAAATTTTCCATTATCTGAGAGACAAATTTTTTTTTGCAGGTGGCCCCAGGGAATCCAGTGGGACTGGGGGGTGAATATGGGTGTAGGGAGAGGCAGTGAGGCAGTAAGACTCGCAGGTGATGTGACGTGAAAGAACCCACAGGTTCAGAAGAGGAAGAGAAGTCTAGGCCAGCCCTAAAGAAAATTAAGAAAATGAAATGTGTTTAGATGAACTTCCAGACCTAACACTCTGTAAAATACAGACTCTCAGAGTTAGGTCTTTAAGGAGCTTCCACATTAACCCCAGAAATCTTTCCATTCTCATGCCTCCAACTTCTCCTTAACTGCCCTTACCGCTGGGTCGTACCTAGATGGAGACCCTCATCTCTACACACCATCTCCGTCAGCTCCCACAGCATCCCATGCTCAGTATGGAAAGCAAGAAGGCCTCTGAGGACGTGGGATGAAGCTATCATGCTCTTTACACTAAAATTTCTACTAAGCCTCTGGAAAACTTCACTCACTTGAAGTCTGATCCATGAACTATTTAGAACAGCTGTGAATCACTGGGAAAAGAGGAACATTGGGCCTGTTATGTGCTTACAGAGGCTGATCTCAGTTTAGTGAGTTAGTCGCATCCTGAAGATCACCCCAGAACTTTCACAGGTCAGTGGGGCAAGTCTCCGTCCTCATTCCACCCCAATACTAATTACACCTTTGATATCATTCCCAACTGCTCCTGGCTTGTCACAGGTAGGTGATCTTTATTTTTTCGTTATTTTTAATTGAGTAGATTAAAAAATTTAGAAAAGATATGATGGTATAGAGAATAATGATGCAATGAAGACTTTTGTACCTGGTTCAGTGGAGGAAATAGAATATTACCACTATCCTTGAAGCACTGTGTGTGTTCCTTCTGATTTCATTATCTTCTTTCCTGGTGACAATCAACCACAATCCTGATCGTATATTTATCACTCCCTTTACTTTATTTTTTGCTTTTAAAATTTTATTATTTATATTTGAATTGAAATATAGTTGGTTTATAATGTTGAGTTCAGTTTCTGGTGCACAGCAAAATGTCACTCCTTTATTTTATAGTTGCAGTCGTTTCGCACTTGGAACTTTATTAAACTGATTAATATTGTATGCATTGTTTTGAGATTTACTTTGTTCTCTTTTTTTGTGTGTGTGTGAATTCTTTATTAGCCTTGTGCTGGGCTTGGACAAAAAGTTCTTAATTCCTTTTCTAGAACCCTTCAGGTCAGGGGTGTGTGTATGTGTGTTTCATGTTTAAAAACTTTTTTTAAAAGTGGTTTTAGATTCACAGCAAAGGGTAAGGTGCAGGGAGTTCGCATATCCCTCCCGCCCCAACACATGCACAGCCTCCCTCACTATTGCCATCCCCTGTTGGTACATTTGTTAAAACTGACAAACCTGATGCATCATAATCACCCAAAATCCATAGTTTACTTTAGAGTGCATTCTTGGTGTTGTGCACCAAATTTTAAAAATTTCTACAGGTTTAGACAAATGCATCCATCAATATAGTAACATCCAGGGTATTTTCACTGCCCTACAAATCCTCACTGCTCTGCTTATTCACCAATCCACTTCTGCAACACCTGGTGACTGCTGATATTTTTACCGTTTCCATAGTTTTACCTCTTCTGGGATGTCATATAGTTGAAATCATACACTGTGTAGCTCTTCCAGACTGGCTTCTTTCACTCAGCAGAGTGCATTTAAGATTCCTCCATGCCTTTTCATGACTTGATAGCAGATTTCTTTTCAACTCTAAATAGGATTCCATTGTTTAGATATACTAGTCACCTACTGAAGAATATCTTGGTGTTTCCAAGGATTGACGGTTATCAATAAAGCTGCCATATACATCCATGTACTAATGATATGGAACATCTTTTCATGTATTTATTTACTAACTGTATATGTTCTTTAATGAAGTATTAATTCAAATGTTTTGCTCATATTTTAAAGTTGGGTTGTTTATTTTCTTATTATTGAGTTGTAAAAGTTTCAACTTTTAAAAATTCTAGATATATGTCCTTTATTGGGTAATATGTTATAGAAACGACTTCTCCCAGTCTGACTCATCATTTTATTTTCTCATCATTGTCTCTTTTTGAGGGGGTATCATCCAAATGAATTTGCATGTATGTATTTGTGGGGTTTTTGTCTGTCTGTGTGTGAGGTCTGGCGCTTCTTTTCTTTTCTTATTTTTATTACTGAGTATAATTGACCTAGAAACTGTGGTAGTTCCAGGTGCACAACAGTGATTGAATATTTCTACATACTACAAAATGATCACCACTCATTGCCTTTTTTTTTCTCATCGTCTTTTGAAAAGCAAACATTTAAAATTTTTATGAAGTCCAATTTACCAGTTTATTCTTTCATGAGTTTTTTTCTTTTATATATTGCTTTTTAATCCTACTTAATAAATCTCTGCCAAATCTAAGGTCATTAAGATTTTTTTTTGTTTTCTTCTAGAAGCTTTATAGGCTTAGATCTTACATTTAGATATAAGATACATTTTTAAATGTTTTTTAAAAATTTTATTGGATTATAGTTGATTTACAAAGTTGTGCTGGTTTCAGGTGTATAGCAAAATAATTCAGTTGTACATATACATATATCTGTTCTTTTTCAGATTCTTTTCTCACATAGGTTATCACAGAACATTGAGTTTCCTGTGCTACACAGTAGGTCCTTGTTGGCTATCTATCTTAAATATGCATTCATGCTAAGTCACTTCAGTCATGTGTAACTTTGCGACCCTGTGGACCATAGCCCACCAGTCTCCTCTGTCCATGGGATTCTCCAGGCAAGAATACTGGAGTAGGTTGTCATGCCCTCCTCCAGGGCATCTTCCCAACCCAGGGATCAAACCCACATCTCCTGTGTCTCCTGCATTGGCAGGAGGGTTCTTTACCACTAGCACCTCCTGGGAAGCCCAGCTTTTATATAGTGGTTTGTGTATGTTAATCCCATGCTCCTGATTTATTTCTCCCTAACCCTACATTCTCTTTTGGTAACCATAAATTTGTTTTTAGGGTCCATTTTAAGTAAATTTTTATATATAGTGTGAGTTAAGGACCGAGGTTTAATTTTCACATTGGTTATCAATTGTTCCAGCACCATTTGTTGAAAAGATTATACTTTCCTCATTGAATTGCTTTGGCATCTTTATAAAAAATAAATCAGCCATATCTTTATGATTATATGTCTGCACTATCTTTAATTTCATACTCTTTTTTCAAAATTTCAAAAGCTATTCCCTATAGATTTTGCATTTCCATGCAAATATTGTTACACTTCCATATAAATTTAGAAACAGCATGTCAACATTTTTTTTAAAAACCTGCTAGTACTTTGATTCCATAGATCAGTTTGGAGAGAATTGACATCTTAACAACAATTCCAAGTCTTTGATCTATGAACACATGTGCTCTCCATTTAAGTCTTCTTGAATT